TTTTAAAAAGGCATAAAGAACTTGACACACGCACACATAAAAGGCAGAAAATAAAACATGTAGGCAAATGTTCTTCTATAACCCCCTTCATACCCAAAGTGCTGATGTACCTTTGATATGCATGGCTACATGATGCCTTGTACACAGTGGCTCATCTCATTTAAGTGCAGTGGAAATTTAAGAGCCAAGACCTCAAATGCAGATGAACCTGGTGAGCCCAGCTAAGTGAGCCAGACAGTTAACCCAGCAGCTGCTCTGAGTAAGTGCCAAAAGTAATGGATGCATTATTATTGTTTGGCCTGGTATGGCAGTGAGGCTGAAATTTTATTGTGATTGGGGAGGGGGGGAAGCTTCCAGTGTTTCCAAGTGAGTCCAAGATTGAAGCCATGTACTAGGCTGAAAGACTCTACATTTGGTGTTAAAAAAGCAACTAGCTCCCTGTGCCCAAGAGTATAAAAATCTCAACTAGCAGGAACTCTTCATCTTGCTACAGGACTCTTACATTACACTGCTGCTCAAACAGGGGGCAGCTCTAATGTGCGGTGTATTTCAAATCAGAGTATAGCAATTTTAAGGTGAGAAATGGAAAATGTTAACCTGGAAAAGCACAATTACTTGGTTAATATCAAGCTTTGTGGTGGAAAACCCAAGAGGAATGAGTTCTGATGTTTCAAAACATTTCCTAGAATCCTATCCAAAGTAAGATGAAAGCTCTCACGGTCCATTCGTATCACAGGAACATTATTTTTGCACCACTTTAAAATGGTGTCTCACATACTTGACTTTGCTGGGAAATGATCAGCCACCTTAGTAGTACTGTGAAACAAGTGCAGTTTGCCACTGCTCCTACCAAAGAACTGACAGCCTGGATAACACGTTATACACTTAATGGTAGCTGCAGCCCACAAAAGGCAACGTCTACTTTCATGCCATAAGCTTCAAAGCATCCAAGAGATGGGAGCCTTTACCATAAAACTGTGTTACCTGCCACCAGTTCTGCAGGAGTTCAGTGACACTTATGGCTAACTAGGAGTCCCAGAGTAGTGGAGTGTGGCAACAAGCACAAGGAAAAGTTCTGTGGCACTTTAAAAGATTAAGCCAGATTCCAAAGAGCCTCACATCTGTTTGGAAAGTAGTTGTCCATGCGTAGGATGGGAGGGGGAGAATATTTCCAATTTCTCTTTCCACCACAGCCCCTTCCCTCAAACTGAATGCCTCCCCAGCAATGTTCCCTCTAAGCTGTGGTGTCTTGTGAGCAAAAATTCTACTTTGTGAGCTGCTGGCATTAAAGTTGTGAACAAGCGATTTGGCTACTGATAAATCAGTTCGCTCTGGAGCCATCCTTTCCTGAGCTAAGACAAAAAATGCATGAGCCCGAGGCTAAAAAACTGTGAGCTAGCTCGCACTAACTCAGCTTAGAGGGAACACTGCTCCCCAGAAAATCCTCCACTTTCATGACCTACTCTGGAGTGGATTTGAGGAACAGCAATGAGAACAACGAGGGTCTGAAAAGCTCTGGTGCACACACAGCCCTTTGGATCCTAGCCTCTTGTTAAGGGACAGATTTAGAGGCTGGATCATCTAAAAAGCATACACTAGGACTTTTAACTAGAAGAGAAACTGATACTTTCTTAAAATGACCTGTAATGGTACCATTTAAACAATTTATGTGTCAAATTTGTAAATGAAGCCAAGTTTTAAAGAAAACTCAGACTTTGCCTGAATATAGGGCTGCTATATCTGTAAATTCCTTAGAGACTATATGATGGGAAGCATGTGAGAGCAGAGGGCAGTTGATAGCAGGCATTATGTAAAACTTTGTTCCACGTTACCAAAATAATCTTCTATTCAGAGAACTATATGAGAACCACATTAAGAGTGATGCAGAATGTAATAGATTAAAATAAATCCTTGCCTAATTTATGAAGTGGCAGTCAGAATTAAACAGTAAATAACATACTGATTTGGGGTTCTGGAATGGTAAAGAGTTTTTCAGAAAAATATCCAGTTATATTTATTTTTATATATACAGTTATTATGTGTGTGTATATATATATATATATATTACTTGGACCAAATTCATCTGAAGCTATTCTGACAAGAATCCCATAAATCCCAACTGATCTAGGGAGCAATCTTAAGCAGGTCTATTCAGAAGTAAGTTCCATTTTATTCAACATGACTTCCAGTGAAGTCTTCTTAGAATTGCAGCCTTAGTTCCATTGTTTTCAATGGAATTTAGCCTCTGCTGGTTTTGGCTGGTTTGTGGTCCTTCTATAAAGGATGAGTATTTTTAATTATTTTTAAATCGATGAAGACATTTAATTCAATTATCATACTGTGCACAGAATTTTTCATCAGGTATAAAATTAAAAATAACAATGCCCAGGCCCAAATGTATGTAATAACTATGCTAAATTGCTATGTGTATCAGAAAACATAATTTGGCACATCAACAAGGAAAATTTATGTGTGAATTAAGATTAAGCAACTATAAAGTTGCACTCTAGAATAACATATAAGGGAGCAGACAGACAATCATGAATGTTAAGGGAACTCTGTTCCTTGCCAATTCTTCTATCTTGAGCATGGGGGATCATTTCTTACCACTTTCTCCAGGCACCGCATGGAGGTCTTGGCTGGTACAGGCCGTATCTGAAAAACCACTCCTATTCTTGCTGTTCCTCAGTGAGAGACACACACAAATGAAATGGCTTTATACTGAATCAGACCATCATCACTGTCTACTCTGACTGGCCACAGCTCTCCAGAATCTCAGGTCTTCCATGTCACCTACTACCTGATCCCTTTAACTGGAGATGCCAGGGATTGAACCTGCAACCTTCTGCATGTAAAGCAGGTGTTCTACCACTGAGGCATGGCCCCTTCCCTCCATGGACAGTATAGCACACGTGCAAGAAAGCAGATGATACAGATGGAAGAGCATTCTACTCTAATGCTTAACTACCTAGTGAACGGAGCAGGTTCAGATCATTGACCTGGGGAATGAATATATTGGTAGGGAGTGGGCGTGGAGTATGACAGGCATTGGGAAAGGACTGGGCCTCTCTATTCCTTCTCCCTGTTGATAAATTTGACAGGCCTTCATCTAGACATAAATTAAAGCTTAGAGGTGCAAGTGGCAAGAACAGAGCTTTCAGTGGTTGCCACCAAACTCTACGGGAATAAAAAGTTGGGCTGCAACTCTGTAACCAGTTGGAGAGGTGACTTTTACCAACCTAAACTCAAGAGCTACACAGAATAAGGTGGGGTTTAATTCCCACCCTGCTGGTGTCTGGGTGCATCCCTTCAGTTTTTCCCTCACAGAAATGTGAACAGCTGCCTCTCATTCACTCTTAAATCGGGAATTTAGACACTTGTAGGTGGGACAAGATATGTTTCCACCTTTGACACTGGTTATCTAGTTCATATGCACACACCTCTTTTAATGGTATTATAATTTTATATGACACTGTCACTATTCAAACCCTTTTCAATATGCACAGCTACCTGCTTTACGTCTTTTTGTGCATGCACATGAAAGCTTATACCCAGAATTAAACTTTGCTGGTCTTAAAGGTGCCACTGGACTCAAACTTTGTTCTGTTACTTCAGACCAACATGGCTACCCACCTGAATCTCTCATTAACGTTGGTTAGCTTCCATAACCTGACCCCAAATATCCATTATATCAGTGAAGCACACCATAAAAAAACAAACCCTAGAACATTCTGAAGTGGTAGGATGTCCTAGTCTTATTCTTGATTCAAGAGCAGATCTGTGAGTTTAAGGATGTTTTTTCTATATCCAGATACTTTGTTTTCTATGTCACCAACACCAACAAAGACCTAATCTTACCTTCTGTGCTCATAAAAAAAAAAGTTATCAACTTCAAAGCAATTAAAATACAAAATATTATCAGAAATAAAATTAATCTTATGGCTAAAATAATCACGTCCGGATTTTCATTACTGCTGCTGCGGCATTCTCATAAAGTTAAAAAATTTATGCCGAATAAGCAAATGAAAAATTATAGCCCTTTAAGTATTTCATTACTTTAGCAATATTCATATTCACAATAAAGTGACCAGTATTTATCATTTCCCTTGATAGACTTTTCAAAACAAAACTGAAAAAACAGAATGGTCAGGAATATTTTATCAAAAAGGTACATTATGATCTCCATATCCAAAATGCTGGCTTAAGGACATACCCTAAACCACAGGCTTTCCAGTGTTACTGGCCATGTAATGTTGAAGATGAGCTACACAATACCTATTTTAACAATTTTATCTTTTGTTTAATATAAACTGAGTTGTAACCATAAAATAATCTGGCTATACTTATATCATAAGCACCTTCTCACACTAATTCTTTACATTGCTGAAAAAGTTTCTAAGTGACTATATCTTAAGGTCCCTCCTTGCAAAATAGTTTGTATATAACAATAAGGAGGAACTTTATTGGAAGGGTGCAGCTCTGCAAGTGCCATCTTACACCTAATGGCAAAGCTCACACGTACTGAAAGAGCAAAATAAAACTAGACTATTTTGCTCCAGATAAAGGGTATATTTTTGTAGTTCAGAAAATATTCGGGGGGGGGGGGGCTGTTTTGTTATAAGAACATTTGTCAAACTAAAGCTTCCTATAATTTGGCATTGGCAATGTTTTGCAGTCCTGGATGATAATCTGATACACTAAGAAAACCCTCCAAATACTGAGATGCTTATTGCAATTCCTTTTTGTAGGTTCAGACACTAGTGACTTTCTGCCTCCATTCTCCTATTTTGTCCTTCAGCACACCCAAAAGCTTTCCCATATTTAATATTAAGCATGACAATACCACTTAGAAACAGTATTTCAGTAGATAGAGGGTTTAAGGCAAGGCATTTGCTTGGGGAAAAATATTTTCCTGCTGTTACTCTGCATTGACACAATTTGTTCTTCATCGCCATCAGTGCCTTGGGATACAGAATGTACATTCAGCAAAGGGCACGCCTAAGAACCGATGGACATATGCTGGAAGTCCTGAGTGCCCATTGAAATAATGGTAATTTTTTCTATAAGGCGTGATCCACAAGAACATGGCATGGGAGAGGTTAATTTGCTTTGTTTCCATTCTTACTAGTGTATTCAATATTCCCTAGGGATATAGCATTTTTTTTAAACTAATCATCTTTTCAGACAAATACAAACCCCTTTAAAAGGTACTATAAATGGGTTCTGAAAATATAAAATATATCCAACATAGTATCTCCTAATCATTGTTTCGTCGTCGTATTTCTGCATGTAGTTTCTCGTTTTTGATTGAAATTATTTGTTGTGGAAAAGTTATGTCCTCTAATGCTTTCTTCTTCTTGCTTTTTGGACCAAGAGGACTGGATGCCTTCTTGCTCTTTACTTCCTTTCTTAGTTCTTTTCGTTGTGAATATCAAGAACACTAAGATGCAGATGATGTGGAGGCAGAAATACCAGGAGCTGAACAAAGAAATAAAAATAAACATTAAGTCAATCTGATCTCTAGCATTTTAAACTAATGTTTAACATCTATCTTCAGAAATTCATATCAAGGGTTTCTCTGCCCAAAGTTCTACCTTCCCCCCTCCCTTTCTGTAATTTTCCTTATAAAAATGTGGAACAGGATATCTTCTTCATAGCATCTGAAGAAGTCAGCTCTAACTCACAAAAGTTCGTGGTGGAATAACTGTTAGTTTTTCAGGTGCCATTAGACTTCTGTTTTATTTTGCTATGACAGACTAATACACCTGCCCATCTGGAAGTGTCTTTAAAAGATCTGCTATACTAACCAAGGTCTTCAGGTATACTTGTGTATTTTTGTAATGACCAATGAGCAGTTTGGGAACCTTAATATGGATAGTTCAAAATGCCCAATTTGATAAAGATAGGTTTCTATCTCCTAGCAATACTTTGGCACTGAGGGAGTTTGACTATCTTTGAAGCTGCAAGATGGCTTACAGCAATGAGAGAAAAGGAAAAATCCTAACACTGTCTGTGTGAGAGCTGTTAAAGACAGGAGAGGTCAAATCCCTTGCAAGTTAGAATCTGGTTTATTTATTCCTCCTTCCCTTCAACAATTCGATCATTGAAGAGAGCAGAGATTTCAGGTGAACTCTTTTGTTTTTGGCTGCAAATCAATTCTTCACTGTAGTTTCTGACACGTTATGAATTTCAGTACAAAAAGTAACTAAGGTGCCAGTTTTTATATTCTATGTGTCCTTTGGACTTTTGGCCATATCCAGCTGGAACACAGCTCCTACGTACTGTGTAGGTTTGGGAAAATAATAGATTATTTGAGCTAGAATGAAATGACTGGAAACAATGAGAAAGTACATAAAAACTTGAAGAGCATGAAAATTCCTCCCCTGTGAACACTGGAGGACTTCTGCAGGTATTACCTGAATATTTTCCATTGTTTCTCCATAATTTTAAGCACTTTTTGTTAAAATGCAGTCTGAGATTCTAAGGATACCATGCCAGTGTGGTGCAGGGGTTAGAGTGTGAGACTAGGATCTGAGACAACTGGGTTCAAATTCCTTGCTCAATGATGGAAGCCTGTCAGGTGATCTTGGGCCCATCACAATCTCTCAGCCTAACCTACCCTTTCAGGTTGGTTACTGTGAGGATTAAGAGGAAGAGAGGGGAACGATGTGAAAAGCTGCTGTGACTCCCCGATCAGGGGAGGGGGGAGAAGCGGGATATAAATAAATCAATACATAATAGTTGCCTGATTCTCCCTCAAGCACTAAATATTTCCTGAAATCCCTTAAGTGTGAAATCTGACATGGATTATTTCTTCTTCACTTGTTAATGAAGTAATCCACATTATGCATATGCCATAAACAAAACTTGCCATTAGAATATTTTTCTAGATGCTAATGAAGTGTCCACTTACCTGTAAAACTTGATAGATGGTTTTACAGAGAGAAGTACAAATGGTACAACAGTATAACTTATTGCTACTTGAGTTGTCATCCATGTCATGGTATCGTAACATAATTTAGTGGCTGGAGAAACAATGAAGTAGTGCCTCACGTTTTTTCTTACCTAAACATAAAAGTGATGTACTTAAGTAGAAGAACCTCAGCATCTTTACAGCGCCTACAGGAAACCACAATCTAGATACAGCCAAAATTATCTTAACACAATATGATCCAATATGGTTTCCATATCATCCAATATGGTTTCATAAGGAAGGACTCCATCTGCTGTAGATTCCACAGCACCTTTTGGAAGCTGAACTCTGTGTGTCTATGAGTGAGTCCTAGTTCTTCTCTTCTTTTTCCGTCAAACATTTGACTACATATTCTGCCAAGCTCAGATCTAGACCTGTTGTTGGAGAAGCCAACAGTCTCAAGCTTGTTTCCATCATTTTCTTTTTTAACACACATTGAAACACACTTGAGCTTATTTAAGGCATTAGGAGTAGGCTGCAACAATCCATGCTTGGTCCACTCCATGGTTCCTTTTACTCCCTGGAAACCCTGGCTGGCTACAACAGCTTACCAAAAAAAAATGCTATTAGTCTTTGCCTAAATAGATAAAAATCTGTGCCACCTGTTGCCTGGTTCCCCACACTCCCATCTCCTGCCAGGCCCAACCCTGCTGAAGTTTCCTCTCCTGTTACATCAGCCCTGCCAACTCCTCAGACTTCATTCTTACCACACTCCTATCTCAATACCCAGTCAGGCAGTTCTCTAGCACTAAAATGGCCTGTTTTTGAGATAACAGATGGATTGCTCTTACAAAACTATTCACTGTTTCTGACTACTTATTCAAAGTTTTAAATTACAAATTAAAGACAACAAATTAAACGACATCAGCCAGTATCAGACAGTAAGTCAGAACAAAGGTTAGATCAACTGAGAAATAAATAAATACAGGGCTTTCCTAAAGGGCCAGGCCTTCACTGCCAGACAAAATATGCACCAAGACAACAGGCGGATTTCTTCCAAGACAGCATTCCATAACTGCAGTGCCCCAGAGTATGCTTCTATCCATGACTTAAAAAAAAAAAAAAAGGTGCGAGAACTCTCAAGAGGGGAATGAAATGTTCAATCTGTATACTGAAAGCTCATGAGCTTCCAAGCATTTTAAAAATAGTTTTGTTGAAGAGGTTCCAGAACTCCATTCCAGTGCGTTCCCCAGAAAAAAAAACCCTGTTTCTATCACATGTCCTAACTGGTTGCACCTCAGATGACAAGGAAATGCACAGTAGAGAAGCACGAGTTTTGGGGGATGTATGGTAGGCACAGCCAGGTCCCAAGCTACTTATGGCTATATCCAAGATGGCATGTCATGGAATTCCTGGGCCATGTTGATATTATTTGCTATCAAGTGATGCAAACACAGCATACACAGCATAAGTAATACTGTTCCATGGTCTGGAGAGGCAGGCTGGACTGGGAGTGGAGGGTACCATGCTTTCGTGGTTCCACTCTTTCTTGACCAACTGATTTCAGAAGGTGGTGCTGGGGGACTGGCTGCTCAGCCCCGTGGCATTGATGTCAAGGGGTCCCACGGGGTTCCATCTTACCCCCAATGCTGTTTAACAGCTACATTAAACTGCTGGGAGAGGTCATCCAGGGACTTGGAGTGAGGTGACACTGAGTTCTATTTATTCTTAACAACTAAGCCAGGTGGGTCTGTGAAAGTCCTTAACAGGTGTCTGGAGAAGGCAATGGGCCAATAAACTGTAGCTCAGTCCAGAAAAGACTGAGGGGCTGTTGGTCAGTGGAGGGACTGTGGAGTCAGTCTGTCCTGGAGGAGAACAAAGTGTGAGTCCAGTGGCACCTTTAAGACCAACAAAGTTTATTCAAGGTATAAGCTTTTGTGTGAATAAAACTTGGTTGGTCTTAAAGGTGCCACTGGACTCAAACTTTGTTCTGTTGCTTCAGACCAACACGGCTGCCCACCTGGATCTGTCCTGGAGGAGGCTGCACGCCCCCCCCCCGATGGCACAGGTTTGTAGCTTCGGGGTGCTACTAGATCCTGGCCCACAGCTGCAGGCTCAGATCTCCTCTGTGGCATGTAGTGTCTTTTATCAGTTCTTCCTGGTATGTCAGCTAGCATTCCTCAAAAAGTGAGATCTGGCTATGGTGACTCAGGCTCTGATCGCATCTGAGTTAGATTACCATAATGCACTGAACATGGGGTTGCCTTTGAAAATGGTTCAGAAACATCAATTGATCCAATTGGCCAGGGTACTGCCAAGGGTTAGTTACAGGGATTATATCATCCCTGTGTTGAAAGATCTGCACTGGCTACCCAATCTGTTTCTGGGCACAACTCTTACTTTTAAGTCCCTAAATGGCTTGGGGGCAGGGTACCTGAAGGACTGTCTCCTCTCACACTACCCAGCCCACCAGTTAAGATCTGCTTCTCAAGCCGTGCTCTCTGTGCCCCCAGCTTCAGAAGTGAAGCAGGTGGTGACTAGGAGACAGGGCATTGTCTGTGGTGGCACCTTGCCTTTGGGATGACCTCCCCCTTGAGACTTGCCTGGCACCTACATCACATTCATTTAGGCGCTAGACTAAAATACATTTTTCTACTAAGGCTTTTAATAAGGGGTTTATCTTATCAGCTTGTTAATGGTCTGCTCCGTTCTATGAGCAGTTTTTATGCTACTTGTGTTTTTTTATAGTTTATACTGTGGTGTTTCACTGTAAGCCACCTTGAGCAGGACTCTGAAGAGGCAGCATAAAAATATTCTAAACAAATCAGTAAATGTTTTGGTAATTCTCTTTAGCTGCAAAATTTCAGGGACTTGGAGAAATCAACAACTTGCAGTTACTCACCTGTGCAACACGTTTAGAAATTGGTGCTTTAACACCCCTCAAAATGTACCAGATTTTGCGAAAGAAATTTTCCAAAACAGCTTAAGAGTCTTTTCTCTCTCTTGCAAAGCACTACTTTGAAGTTTGTAATGTGGGCCTTGTATTCAGAGTATTAATAATCATTAAGGGCATACTTGCAGTGGTACTTACTGTTCGTGCTGCAAGTGTCATTAGCACCCCCGTTAAGAACGTTAAATAATATCCTGGATATACCCCGTGCCAAATTGCCGACAAGATAAAAGTCTGTATTGTTGGACTGAAGGAGGCTCGCTCATAGCATACTCTAACAGTTCAAGGGGAAAAAAAGGAACAGAAAGAAGTTTCTTTTTACAAACTGCCTACCTAAAGTAATTCAATTTATATTTTAGATCAATTTATATTTTACACTAGGGAATCATCCATTAATGGAATTCCACCCCACCAAATAACCCCCAACCCAAATCCTTTAAGAAACTTGATGGCCCAGCCTGAGAATTAATTTGCTTACAAGAAATGACATTATTTTTCCACAAAAGAAATGGTTAGCAGAGATCCTGAATCTGCTCCACTGCTCTGAGTACAGGTCTTCCAGGAAACAGCTTTTGGCCTTAAACTGCAAGCAACTGGAAACTGATCAGACCCCACTATGAGAAACTCCAAGATGACTCTTGTAAGACCCACTGAAAGCACAGCAGGAGTCATTCTCCTTCAGTGCTACCCATCTTTGGTCAGCCATTTTCTGAAGCGTTTACCAGATAAGGCATCTTGAGGTTAGCATAATATCACACTGTCATCCCCGTAAAGTATGGTCAAGAGAGGTGGACTTCAAAATAACCACTAAAGCTTCAAATATAAATTCATAGACAAAAGAGTGGCAAAACTATTATTGGTTGGCACACGTCAGGCAAGGCTAGCCAGAGCAGAAATACTTCAGACCTGACTAATCAGACTTTACTCTCCCATACCCCCTCAGAAAATATTAGCAAGAAAAGGACATTGCAGACTGTACCTTTTGAGCCAAAGAGCCGTCTGGATATTCCAGTTGTCAAGAAACATCTTGAAACTTGTTGAAAACTATAAAATTAACAAATTACATTTTAGTTTTGTAGCGCAGAGATGATTTCCCCCATGCAGTCATTTATATAAATCATGTAAACAAGTTATTCCATGTATAGTGATAAAGCATTCTTTTAGGATGGGAAAAAAGAACACAATATTGAGCTGCCTTGGCAGCACTATTTCAAATTATGCAGCTGTACAGTGTCTGTGATGGAAACAGGCCTGCTTTGACTTACAGAACCTGTTCTGCCTACCCCGATTCCTGGAGGGTGTTAGTCCACTTCCTGCCACTAGGGCATGCTGCCACCACCTGCTCAATTTAGAGGTCCTGCATGAGAGGAACAGGACTCCCAATCCCCCTTCTCAGTTCTGAGGCCTGGCCTCAAGGTCTGTGGCTGTCACAGGGACCAAATGCAACTTTGGGTTTACCCCTAGAGGGTTGGCAACATGTGCCTTGACTGCCTCCTTCCCAGTCTGGGAAATTAGTAGTGTATCCAAGTGTTGGAGGACTACGTGGTATAGAAACTTAGAGCCACATCCAATATTAAAAAGGATTTATTTTAAAAAGTAAATTCAAGCACACTTATTCACAACAACAGATCAGCACACAGAAGAACAAAGAAAACTTTATTATAAACTTATCCTTCTTTCCCGGGTTCTACAACTTACTCTGACTAGATATCACAATCAGAACAGGTATGTACAAACTTAGACAGTTACACAAGGTTCTAAAGATGTCCCATTACCTCGAGCTCCCTTCAGCCAGCAGACCAGGCCACATGGCCAAGATGGCTCCTGGCCTGCAGAACAGAGCTCAGCAGTCTGTCCTCTTCCAAGAACCAGCACCAAGAGAGCCATTCTCCTGAGAGCAAGCACTTTTATTAAACCTCTGACTCCACCCATTTTACATCACTCTGCATCCCTTTTTACCTGGTCCGCCCAGGTCACACAGAAGGCATACTCCACACTCTTGTTTCCTGCCTGGAGAATGGGGATGAGCTGGCTCATCCCATTGCCTCTTCTGCCAGGTCCATTAGCATTTCTAAAGGGGTAGGCCAGGTACCATCTGGAATGCCATGGGCTAATTTCCTCCTCCCTCTCCTGCTTGTTCCTAGCTTTAAAGTCTGCTTGCCAACCCTCCAGGAGGCAAGGCATTTCTCCACAGTGTCCAATAGAGCCAGTAAAAGCTACACTTGCTGGCAGAGCACAGCTGGCTCACCCATGTATAGGGATTCGGCAGTGTTCTGGGACTGCACTAGTCAAAGGATGCTCCAACATGCCAGAAGCAGCTGTTGTGCTGATTATGCCAAAGACAGCTGCACGCGTGTACTGGCATACACATGCACCCAAACTAAGATAGCATCCAGAATAATATAGAACTTAGCCACTCACTCACTTCATTCAGGAAGGCCCTTGCCTCAATTCTTGCACCATACTGCCCCCACCTATGATGGCAGAACACAACCTTTCAGCTGGCCCAAGCCACAAAACCAGAACAAAACCCCAATCCAACATTAGAATTCCCCACTACCACCCTGCAACATGCAGATACTGTTGAGGCTAAGGGGAAACATATTCTGTTTACTTCTGGCTGCTGATAGCTGTTCCACTTTAGTATTTGAAATAACAGGTGGTCTGAGAAAAATTGGTTGCTTACCTGTAACTGACGATCTTCGAGTAGTCATCTGTGCCGTCACATACTTGAGTTGGGTGCCTGTGCGAACCCGACCTCAGAAAGTTCTAGAACTTGGCACATGAACCTGACCCAAGAAAGCTCTAGAGCTAGCCTCCAATATTTTGACACGCTTTTCTCCCGTTGTCTGGGGAGAAGGCATTGACTATGCATGCCTGGAGCTGCCCTCCCACTCAATTCCTTTGGACCATCGCTGGTATGTTCAATCAACATAAGGTAAGTGAACGAGAGATGCCAGCAGTGGGAAAGGCTGAGCAGGTGTGTGTGACTGCACAGATGACCACTTGAAGATCATCAGTTACAGGTTTATCTTCTTTGTGGTCTCTGTGTAATTCCACACTTGGTTTATTAGCGAGCTAAGCAGAAAAAACTGGATGAAGGGTGCTGGCAACAAGCTTAAAACAGATAAGCATGAGGCCCCTTTACCTGTTACAGGCCTACCTGAGATTCACTGACGAAAGGAAGGTCAGATGGACCTCAGTAACGTCTGACTGAATGAGGCATCCCGATGAGCCCTGACATCTAGATCATAATGCAACACAAAGGTCGATGACGAGGACCATGTGGCAGCCGCACAGATGTCACCCAAGGGTATGCCTCCCAGAAGGGCCCTTGTGGAGTGGCCTCGAAGGCAGGTAGGTAATGGCTCTCTTGCCAGCTCATAACACAGGGAGATGGTGGCCCTGACCCACTTTGCCAGTCTCTGAGGTGAAACCCTGTGGCCCTCCCTGGGGTAACCATAGGTCACAGAAAGGTGCGGGTCTTTGCGGAAGTCTGGGCAAGGTAGAAGGAGAAGGTTTTCCAGACATTGGGTGAAAGTAGCACTCACTGGCCATCATCTGTGAGGTTCGGGGGAAAAGACAGGCTGCACCATAGGTTGAGACAGGTGAAAAGTTGAAACCACCTTAGATAAGAAGGACGGATCTGGCTGCAACACAACCTTATTCCTGTGAAAGATGGTGTGGGGGGGTGTCCACCCGGAAGGCACAGAGGTTGCTGGTCCTCTTGGCTGAGGTGACTGCAACCTGGAAAACTGTCTTCCAGGTCAGTAAGAGTAGATTGGTGGTTACCTCTGGTTCAAAGGGTTTGCTCATAAGCTTCACCAAGACCAGTGACAGACTCCACTATGGAACTATTGATTTATTGAATTTATCAGCCCAGTGGGACCAGGCTCAGGGCGGTATACAACAAAATCATATATACATCAAGTAAATCAAGTTAAAACTAAGTAAAACAGTAAAAACATAATAGTCCAGTTTACAAAGATGGCACTAAAATCCTAACAGCATCACTGCCTCATGGGAAGAAGGCGGAGAGGGATGGGAGCGCCAAGACAGAGCTGTCGCTGTCCTTAACCGAATGCCTGGTGAAACATCTCTGCCTTGCACGCCCTGGTGCAGATGTTACTCGGCAGAATTCCACCAGGCTGGAGCTAGAGCTGAGAAAGCCCTGGCTCTGGACAAGGACAACTGGATGTCTCTAAGACCAGGGTCCACCAGTAAGTTCTGATCTCCTGAGCGTAACATTCTTCTGGGGGTATACCAGGAGAGGCGGTCCCGAAGGTACATGGGTCCCTGACTGTTAAGGACCTTAAAGGCCAACACCATAACCATGAATCTGATCCACTACTCCACTGGAAGCCAATGCAGCTCATGTAGCATAGGATGGATATGCACTGTGCACAACATCCCCGTAAGGACCCATGATGTTGTGGTTTGTACTAGTTGGGAGTTTCCAGTACTCCAAACTGAAGGTGACTGTTCCATGGATTATAGTGGCTAGGTCAGGGCAAGACAGGTAGGGGACCAGTTGCCTAGCCTGGCGCAGATGAAAAAAAATGCCAGTCTGGCCATGTTTGTGACCTGGGCCTCCATTGGAGGCATCCAGGATCACACCCAGACTCCTGACAGAAGGTGCTAGTCTCAGGGACACACCATCAAGGGCTGGGAGTTGGCACCCCAAACCGGAATCCCCCTGGCCCAGCCATAAAACCTTTGTCTTAGAAGGATTCAGTCTCAGCCAGCTCTGTTTTAGCCATCCCACCACAGCTTCCAACACCTCTGCAAGATTTTCTGGGGTGGTATCTAGCTGCCTGCCCATCAGCAGATAAAGCTGGGTGTCATCAGCATACTGATGACATCCCAGCCCGAACCTCTGCACCAGCTGGGCAAGGGGGTGCATGTAGAGCGGAGAGGACTAGCCATTGTGGGACCCCACATACAAAGGGGTATCTGGGCGATACTCTCCCTCCCAGCGCCACTCTCTGTCCCCCACCTTGGAGAAATGAGGTGGGCCACTGCAAGACTACACCTTGAACTCTTATGTCAGTGAGGTGGTGGTTCAAAAGATCATGGTTGACCATGTTGAATGCTTCTCTGAGATCCAATAACACCATTTCCGACCCACCTCAATCCAGCTGTCTGCAGAGCTCATTTGTAAGGGCTACCAAAGCCATCACCATCCCATGGCCAGGGTGGAAGCTGGACTGGAATGGATCCAGGGCCAATATGTCATGCAGGAAACTCTGGAGCTGCTCTGCAACCACTCTCTCAATTACCTTGCCCAGGAACAAAAGATTCAAAACTGGGTGGTAATTAGAGGCTTTCAAGGGGGATGGAGCTGAAGCATACCTCTGAGGAAAGCTTTGGTAGTTCGGTGAGAGAATAATGTGCTGCCATCCACAAGATCATGGTTAGCTGAGAGCCAGTTTGGTGTAGTGGTTAAGAGCGTGGACTCTAATCTGGGAAAACCAGGTTTGATTCCCCACTTCTCCAGACAGCTGCTGGTGTGACCTTGGGTCAGTCATAAGTTCTTTCATAGCTGTTCTCTCAAAGACAGTTCTTGGGAGAGCTCTCTCAGCCCCACCTACCTCATAGTGTGTCTGTTGCAGGGAGGGGAAGGGATTGTAAGCCACTCTGAGACTCCTTCAGGTACTGAAGGGTGGGGGATAAATCCAATTTCTTCTCTTCTCTTTTTCCAAACGAACCTTCAGGAATGAGAAACCCAGCCCAGACTCCTGTAGGGACACCAGGTATGATAGCATACCTGGCAAAGAGGCTTTTTAGGTTGATCTGTTTGGAAGCTGAATAAAGGGGAAAGCGTTTCCACTTGGCCTGGTAAGTTCTACAGGTGGTGGGCTTTCTGGCATTCTGCAACACATGGTGAACCCAAGATAAGAAAACTAGGGATGTCATTTGAACTTGTAAGGCTTCAGCCATTCATCTAATAAGCTCGAGGTAGCACTTCAATCCATTGCTTGGAGAGAGGGATCCTTCTTGGGCTACCTCAGATCTGGGGGATGTAGAAGAAGAAGAGAGAAGAGACTGGATTTATACCCCACCCTTCATTACCCAAAGGAGTCTCAGAGTGGCTTACAAACTCCTTTCCCTTCCCCTCCGCACAACAGACACCCTGTGAGGTAGGTGGGGCTGAGAGAGCTCTTGACAGAAACTGCTCTTTTTCAAGAACAGCTGTGCCAGAACTATGGCTTGCCTAAGGTCATCCAGCCAGGTGCAAGTGGAGGAGTGGGGAATCAAACCCGGTTCTCCCAGATTAGAGTCCGTGCACTTAACCACTACACCAAACTGACCCATGTATCCATGGGGTCGTCCCCATCAGCCTTCGGTGTCAATTCCAGAAGGGTTTGGAGAAGAGGTCTGGAGATCAGCCAATAGTGGTGGGGGATCCAAAAGATCAATAGGATCGTTGCCCAGACTGAAGGAGTTGAAGGGAGCTGTCTTCGAATCCGAGGTTGCCGTCGGGACAGGGTCAATATGGTGGAAAAGAGCTGGTGGTGATTAGAAGATTTCAAGCCTGATGTGTGGGAAGTTCAGACAGCACTAGAGTGGCGGCGTGGGGAATTGCAGCAGGATGATTCATGCAATGGGGGATGGTGGCAATGGCGTGGAGAACTATGGTATGAGTCCTCGTAAGAGTGATGAGATCTCGAGGGTGAGCGAGTCCAAACATCATGGATGTAATGCAATCGGTACCAAGGTTGAGACTGATGCTGAGAGGGGTGTCCCAGAGTAAACATCTCGGGCAGCAGAGAGGTGGTGCACTGCCTTAATCTCGACCATAAGAATTGATGCTGGGTGTTATCAGGCAGGGACTCTCCTAATGGCGAGTCACTGAGCACGGACAGAGTTTGAGATGGGACCATAATGGTCCTTTGACCCAGAGGCAGTTGGTCAGAAGTGGCAGATGGAGGGTCGATTTGAGTCAAGGCAACAGATGTTGTCCAGGTCGAATCCACGATAGCTGATGCATGCCAGTCAGCAGCAGATGTTTCAGCTGGATGGGCAAGTCAGTGTAGAGGCCAAAAGACCAGTAATGACCAGCAGCTCGACCAATTTCGATGTCGGTGCTGGGGTCTGTCTTGGCTTCTTAGGCTTTAGGTCCAAAGAGATCAATCCCAAGGGCTGTTTGGAGGACTTAGCCTTCTTATGTTTTTTAGCGGCAGAGGATGCCGAGCCTGCCGATTTTACGGAATCTCTCCTCGAATGTGGGGGAAGCAGTGTTGGTTGAGACTGAGGGGTCTACGACATTGCCAGACAAAAGGCAGTCTCTAACAGGAGAGTGTGAAGTTGCACTGCTCCATTTTTTCAGGCTTGTTTAGTAAATTTTGCACAGTAAGTACAGGAATCCACCTGGTGTTTCTCTCCCAAAAAGAGTAAGCAGAGGTCATGGCTGAAAGAAGAAGGGAGTTTAGAACAGCAATAGCGACACTTCTTAAAGAAAATCATCCGTTCCACATCCCATGTCCCCAAAAAGGGGGGGGGGAGGATAATCGAAGAAGAGAAGACTCACAAATAAAGGATTTTTTCAATAGAAGAAAAGGTCAGAAGAAGTCAAGGGAACAGATGACATGGAGGTCAGAAAGGAACTGAGTGGGAGGGTGCTTTCTCCTCAGCTCCAGGCATGCACAGTCAATGCCTGCTCCCCAGGGCACAGGAGAAAATTGTGCCAAAACATTGGAGGCTAGCTGTAGAACTTTCCGAGGTCGGGTTCGTGCGCAGGTGCCCAACCCAAGTATGGGACTGCACAGAGACCATAAAGAAGATGATGTTGATTTATCCACACTTTAAGCCTCAGATACTGCTACCCTTTAATACCCTGAATGGAAGCAGCTACACACTTTGCTGCCATATTGGGGTGTAAAAGTTTTGGCAAAATGGAGGAGACAACTTAAAGGAAGGGAAAGACTGTGATCAAAGCATGCCAAGGCACAGAGAAATAATCTTTCTAGCACATTGTGATCTTCCCATCCCCTGCCTTTCCTTCTTGGCAGTACTTTTTTTAAAGCCTCCCATCAAAACCCTTGTATTCTGGAAAGAGAGAATCTCCAGATCTAGCCACAGTTTAGTTCTAGGTGTATCTTGCCAGGGTGCATCCCTGAAATCAGGTTTTGATGCCAGGGTTGAACTGTGGCACTTGTGAAGGAATTATACCAAGCCCTTTGGGGTCACTGCGGCAATTCAGAATGCCAGTTGCCACAGCAAACATATAACTTGGCAGTAACAACTTCAATTTTGTGTCCCCTGCATCAAGTTACATTCATCTCATAACAACAGGCATTGAGGACCAGACAGAAAGGCCACATTTTTAATTCCCACAAACTTTTACAAAAGATCTGTGTACCAACCTCTATATGCAGAATTCTCAGATTTGAAATCAAATCCCAATGTGAGACTCCATTTTTATCATAGCCTCTAAAACCAAACCCTGCTGCATTATTGATTGCATCAGCTGCAAAGACACACAAAAAGGGGAGGCAATCTGTTATAAATAACTAGAGACCAGGTTATTAGCCATATAAAAGTTGTTTTGCCTTTTGGGAGCCTCTCCCACATTGACAACTGAAATGTCAGTTTATGAAGGTTTGAAATATTTTTCACAACTTTTGATGGGGAAAATTTTTTTCATCCCTTTACAGTTTTTGCCATCACAGGTGCTGCACAGTTCCTGAAACCACAGAATCCACAAGATCCCAAATGACTCTTCATCCATCATAATTTGAGTACCTCCTCTTAAATCCAGACAACCCATACTGGGCCTTGCGTCTTAAAATGCAATGCTATGAAAAGCAAAATCACTTACCAGGGGTGCCAAATTCATTTGTTATGAGGGCCGGATCTGACATAAATGAGACCTTGTTGGGCTGGCCATGTGTGTCATAAAATGTAATGCCAGGTAGTGGAGATATAAACTTTATAAAGGACACAAACACAAAGGGGTGGGTTTTTTTACTTAAAATAAAAACATGCTTAAAACTCTTAAAGGACTCTTGCAATATTTTGTTTATTTAACAGTGTCTGATAACTGACACCTCTTGCTTTGAGTTATTGCATCAAAATGTCTGTGCTGTGGCAATCTTAAGTATGTTTTTCAGGTGTTTATCTGTAAGCTGCAAACCTACAATGGCACAGCAGCAGCAGAACTGGAAGAAGAAGCAGAAGACAGCCAGTTCCACCGCAGCCCTGATAGAAGCCCTCTGGAGGCCTAATTCGGCCCCTGGGCCGCATGTTTGACACTGCCAACTTAAAAGACAAACACAAAGGGTATTTTTCCCCTTCAGAGTTACAGAAATCTACTGCTGTCCCCTAAAAAGCTGTGAAAGTGAAGCTACCATATTACCGGACTCAAGCAAGGTAAATCTAAGCCCAGTGGAAAAAAAGCAGGAAACAATTTTTGTTACTGAAGTGTTAGGATGATAAGCAAAACCACAAAGCAAAAAGGCCATTAGCCATTTTGAAATTAACTGCATGTTAATTTACATTTTTCATCCCCCTTCCCCCTAACAATACATAAAATTATTGATCAGATACTGGCAATTTTGAAAAAGCAAGCGTAGAACACAGAATACTATTAACAGAATGAGCTGGACCTAAACCATAGAATTAAATTTATTAAACAAAATAAGCTGGACCTAAACTATAGAATTAAATCCAAAGGTTGGACTCACAGAAACAATCCTTCCGCTCACAGAGGGTAGTGTTCCACTCAAGGATGGTTTCCGTAGGTGGAAACGCACAATTCCATTGTTTGGTTCTAGGCCAACATTTAACTAATTATGAAGCAATAATGCTATTATGATTAAAAAGGAATAAGTCACTTCCAGCTGTATTATTGTAATTCTTTCTACATGGGGCTGCCCATGACTCTGCTCCGGAAATTGCAGCTGGTGCTAAATACACCAGAATGGGTATTGATAACATTGCCTGTGTGGGCTCACATCCGCCTGGTGCCGCGCGAACTGCACTGGCTGCCTATTGAATACCGGATCCATTTCAAGGTGCTGGTTCTGACCTTTAAAGCCCTATACGGCCAGGGGCTTGCATGTCTTCAAGACTACCTCTCCCCATATGAGCCCCAGAGGGCACTGCGCTCTACAAATCAACATCTACTGACAGTCGTTGGCCCCAGGGATGTCCAACTTGCCTCAACTAGGGCCAGGGCTTAGGCCCCTGACTGGTGGAATGAGCTCCTGTCAGAAATTAAGGCCCTGTGAGAGCTTTTACAGCTCTGCAGGGTCTGCAAGATGGAGCTCTTCCGCCAGGCCTTCAGTTGAGACAAGTGTATACCCAATTCAATCTGGCCTCCTCCCTCCTCCCCGCAGTGAGTTGCACTCATGTGTCTGCTGATGTATAATTTATTTTAAAGTATTTTTGCTGTAGTTATCTTATTGTATTTATTGTATGTATTCTGTTATCTTGTTTTTATTGTTATAAATCTGCACTTAGCAGATTATCACAGGTTGGAACCTGCCCTGAGCCTGCTTTGTGGGGAGGGCAGGATATAAATTGAAATAAACAAACAAACAAACAGTTGCTACTTAATGCCGAACAGTATACATTTGCGTGCAGCATTTTAACGTTAAACTTGGGTAAATTAAATTGTTAGCCGATAGAGACCAAGTTGTATCTGATTCTTTATGGAAAACTTCAGTCACTTGCAAGGAGTTCTCTCTCAACCCACAAGAGGGCACTGTCTCAAACAAGTCCTTTAAGACAACACTATACAGCATGTACAAATACATTCTAAGAAATGGCTTACCTAAAGTCCATGCAAAATAGTATTTGGGTCTGGCAGCCATAAGAGACAGGTACAAGTAGATAATCCTTGTAGGCAGTGATGCTGTGGCTCTGAAATGATCATCAATGTTGTACTCTACAGGCAAAGTTTTGCTAACAGTCATATGAAATAATAAGGATAGTCCGCACACTACGAGTTTCTGCGCCACAGCTGTCTGAAACATGTAAACATGTAAGGCTTTGTGAGCATCTTTTAAAAATAAACTTTCAAATGGAATGATTTAACAAGGTGGGGTTTTTTTGCATTCAGCCATTGCTGCTGCTTGCTCAAAACAGGTATTGCAGCCCCCTACATGACCTGACTAGCTTTCTAATAGTCTAGTGGCAACTAAAATCCCTTAAGACTTCAAAGGGGAGACAGAAATAAAATCCACCATGTGGCATCACATCTGGATAATAGAAGTACCTCACATTTTCACTTTGCGTGATTCCTAGTAAGATATGAAAGGGTTTGTGACTCTCAAAGTTTAAATGATATGGACATACATACTGGAGCATTTGTTGTGTGCACACTGAGTTCATGCACGCCCCCCACACCCACCTTTAAATATACACAAAGACAGCTCTCTCTTCCTCCATCCTGCCCTAAGCAACCCAGGCTGAAGGTCCTGATTAGCATAACATTTATTCTGGTGAAACTAGGGAGACCATGGGTGGGTTTGCAGCAAGTATGCAATGTTGCAAGCATGCCATGTTGCATGCTCTAGAAACTTATCTGTCCCTGCTGATAGAAAATTGCACCATACTTACTGCTGAGCATGCTGCTCACATAATTTATACTTTGGCATTTCACCACCTCTACTTCCAACCTGCCCTTTATTTTCAGTTCTCCTGTTTATCTATTACTCATGAGAAAAAATTGTACATGCATTTGCTATAACTTGCTTATGTTGCTCCAATGCCTTGATTTCACATAGGGAACAAAAAGCAGCAGGTATCAATGTTTTAACAAGCTTAATTCTGCTTAGTTTATTAAAGCCACCCAAAGTGCCACATCCATCACAATTCCTGCTACATTTCACAACAAACAGAACTTCAAGGAACTCTATGGTGATAAGGCAAGTTTGGCCTAGATTTATAAATCAGTCAACTTTCTAAAGAATACAAACATCTTGTGTAATTCTCATGGTTCTGTTGTAAAGCAAAACAGGCGCTCATCTCTGCAGTTCATCTCTTTAGGCAGATGGAATGAACAGCTAGACATGGAGCTTTAGTACTTCTCTAAAAGTAAGAGGATACTATAAACACAGGGGAATGACTTATTCAGGCAACCAAAAATGGGAATTCATCTCTGTTTTGGAAAATTACCTCTCGTTCAATCTCTATAACATCATCATCTCTGGACACTCACATCCCCCCCAGATATCTGGGAAATATATTTTCAAAGGATATATGAGGACTATAACAGCTCACTGCCTACTCTGCCCATAGAAATATGGCTTCCTGTCACTATCATGGAAATTAAGTCTTTGGTCGATCAACTGAAGGCCAGCAAAGCACCTGGGGCTGATTTTATTCTTCCCGAATGCCTAAAGTGATTCCTAAAGTGATATTGATTGGTGGGCCCCCCTGCTGGTGTCCCTTTTTTCCTTCATCGACCAAACCGGTCACATCCCTGAGGATTGGGGACTGGCAATTATTATTCCCATCTATAAAAAAGGGAGACTGGATGACCCAGAAAATTACAGACCAATCAGATTGCTTAGTGTTATCAGTAAACTATATGCATCTCACCTCCTCGATAAATTCAAAACTTGGCTTGAACAGGAACATCTGATTGCTCATGAACAGGTGGGATTCAGAGGAGGTAGATGTACTACAGATCACTGTATGATCCCCCAACACCTCACAGAGAAATACTCTTCATCAAGAGTAGCATTTTTATATGTTCCCTACATTGATCTAAAGGCGTCATTTGACTCTATTTCCAGAACTAAGCTCTGGGGTAAGTTGGAGGCCACTAACATTGATCACAGGCTATGTTTCTTGATCTGTGCCCTACATGAAAACACCTCACTAAAGGTCAGGTGCAACAAGTTGGGGCATCTTTCAAACGCCATCCCCACTGGTGTGAAACAGGGATGTATTTTAGCACAAGCTCTCTTCAACTTTTATATAAATGACTTGGTTAAATGCTTAAGTGACCGGGCCTTTCATCCTCCTAAACTACAGCATCGTCAGATCTTGATGTTGTTATATGCAGATGATGCAGCTGTTCTGTCAAGGACCCCAATTGGGCTAAGAAGAGCCCTAAAGGCTCTAGTACAGCATTGCAAAGAAGACCTTCTTACAATAAACTATCAAAACAGAAGTCTAGAGCCTGGACCATTGATGGCCATTTCATAGAATCACAGAGTTGGAAGAGGCCATACAGGCCATCTAGTCCAACTCCCTGCTCAATGAAGCATCAGCCTAGAGTATCCCTGACAAGTGTATATTTGATTGAACAGGAGGAGACCTTCCAATATCTTGGTGCCGTATTCCATGCTTCCGGCTCAAGAAAAGTGCACGTTGCCCACGCAGCAGATACCGGGCCAAAGTTGGCTCATAATATACTTAGATTTCTTCGAACTAAGGGTGGACATTACATCCCTGCTGCTCTAAAACTCTTCCAAACCAAAACCTTGGTCCAATTTTTGCATGGAACTATGATAGGGCCAACATCATCTTCTTTGAGCATGTACAATCAAAGTTCCTAAGAGCAGCATTACAAGTCCCCAACAGCATACCAAGTGCCTTGCTATGTTTGGAGACTGGCACTGTCGGAGTGGAAGCCAAGGTGTGCCTTACCTCCCTAAATTACTGGTTTAAGATTAGATATTTTCAGCAAGGTTTGACCCCACTGCTTCTCTTGGATGAACATCAATCTATATGGCTTAAGACGGTCATTCGCAAATTTAAGAGCCTAGGTTTTTCACCTTCCAAGATTTTAACCATGGGCCTTGACCAGGCAAAAAGGGCCATAAAACAAAGGATATTGGATACTGAACGCCAACTTGATTTAGGGAGGGTCCCTACTTTCTTGTCCCCTATGAACACTAGATATATAGTCAAGCCTATTTGTCCCTCTTGGAGGTGCCTAGTCACAGGAGGGTCTTTACACTTTCAAGGTGTGCTGCACTCCCCTCTGCTGTTTTAGAGAGGCAGTTTAATACAATCCCCTATGGGAAAAGGCTTTGCCCCTGCAATGATGGAGAAATTGAGACTGTAGATCACATTCTTCTACATTGTCCCTTCTGTCGACTTCCGGTTTTGGCAACTTGAGGCTCAAACGCATCCCATCAAGCTCCTGATGGAGATGCACCGAGTCGCAGCAGACAGGAGGGGTCCCAGCCGGATCCAGGCCCTCCCGGAGTCCTTGTAGGGGACTCCCAGCCTGGGGTGCAGCAGAGAGCCACTCCCGAGGTGACGGCCGAAGGATCAAAGCTCTCCCTACCCCGAGAGGTCCTGCCGTCGTGAAGCCATTATGGCAAAAAGAGCTGGCTGCCAGATGAGCAGACAAGTAATCTAGCGTGATTTCCTTCCTACAATGATTTTAATGCAAAAAACCAGTGAGTTAAGCGATCCCCCATATAAGCAGCCAAGTTTTTAAGTCCACTGGATTTAACTTGAGAAACAAGCAGTGGGTGGGGGGAGAGTTGGGGATTCACCCCCCCAAAAAAACCTGAACGGTCCCTGAATGAGAAAGAAAATGAAATAAGCGAAACTAACCATATGAGACTGTAACTGAGACCGAAAGGTACAAAATAATCCAAAGTGTATTTAAATTGGAGAACGTTGACTTTAAATCCGAAAACTTTCTTCTTGTATAAACAATGTCTGGAAGAGGGAGAAGAATGGCACCGGAAAAGTCTCACAGGAAATACCATACCAACGACTCCCACCCAGACACAGGAAGCAGCTGCTGACTTTTCCAATATGCTGGCTACGGCATTGCGCCCCCTGCTGGAGCAGATGTCTAATATCAACAGTAAGCTTGATAGTGTCCAAAAGCAACTAACACAGATGGATAAAAGAGCAGTCAAAACAGACAGAGCCATCAAGAGAGTTGAAACAAAGACCAAAGATATTGAACAAAAATTGGGGGAAGTGGAAAAAGAGAGAGTCTCAAATAAAGGCCAACTGCTGCAATTCCAAATGGAAAGATCACGCTTTTAAGGTGTTCCTGAGCAAAAAGGAGAAAATTTAAAAGTAATTTTAAGTGAAGCGTTAGCACCAATGACAGATCTTAAGCAAGAAGCGCTGCAAAATGATATGGACTTGGCTTATCGAACCTATCCAGATTTTATAAAGAAAAATAAACTGCCTGGAGAAATATATGTGAAATTCTCTACAAGATCTACCAGAGACAATGTTTTGAAAGCCACATCTGGAAAAGTTCTGAAGGTTAAAGACAAAGAAGTTAAAATTTTAAAGGACATTCCATTCGAGATGCGGAAGCGAAGGTGGCAATACAAGGATTTAATCTTCTTCCTCTACAACAACTCAATCACTTATAGATGGATTTTTCCAGAGGGAGTTGTATTCAACTATAAAGATAAGAAGAATAAAATTGACTCTGTCCAAAAAGCCAAAGTTTTTTTGAAACAACAACAAAGCCCGAGTAAAGATGACAAAAAACCTGTGGACAATATTGAAGAAGAGGGAACCAGTGATGGAGGAACAGAAGACACCTGGAGTAGCTCTAGCAGTACCCCAGAAACCTCAGATTTGGAGAAGGGGACAGCTGCACCTAAAATACCTAAAACGAATCTGAAGTACAAGAAGAAGAAACGTATAAGATAAACGGATATTTCAACAGAATATAAGTGATTACAAAACACCAGAGACTAGTATTAAGATTAAGCTAGCGTTAACCTGAATTTTGATAAATTGATCTTTGTTATTATTGTAGGATTCTTACATATACATTGTAACATTTAGATTACGATCCTTGTCTTATCTTTTGTTTCAGATACAGTGTTTACCCCCTGTCCCTTCCCTTTAGAATGTAGGTTATAAAATGTAATAAAGAAATTAAAAAAATACATTGTCCCTTCTGTCAAGATGCTCACATCCGGACCATAACTCCTTTGATCAATAGAATACCTGGAAGAATGAGTTTGGGATATGTTAGGCTACTCCTAGAAGACAGAAATCCAACAACTACAGCCTT